AAAGTTGGCAGTTGTTAGAAAAGAAGGTATTCAAGGAAGAATGTTGCCCCAATGAGCTGGTGGGAGTCGGAAAGGACATTGCTTACCACTGTCAAGGATTGCCTCTTGCTGTTGTTGCGGCTGCTGGTATACTGAAAACGACAGAAAAAAGCCAAAATTCGTGGAAAACAATCGCAGATAACTTGAGCTCACAAATAATTGATAATCCCGAAGCTCGGTGCAAAGAAGTCTTAAATCTCAGCTACAAACATTTGCCGGAGTATCTTAAATCATGCTTTCTATATTTGGGAGTTCTTAATGAAGATAGAGATGTTCTTGTCAGCAAGCTGATACGGTTTTGGATCGCAGAAGGTTTCATACCAGAAACTAATAAGGGCTCTGAAGAAGTGGCCGAGGCTTTCTTGATGGATCTAATTGACAGAAGCTTGGTGATAATCTCCAAAAGAAGATCCAACGGCAAAGTTAGAGCATGTCGCCTCCACGATCTTGTCCTTGATTTCTGTAAGTCTCAAACCGAGGATGAGAACTTCTTTCAGCTGATAACCAGGTCTGATAATCCATATGCTTCTTTTCCTAATACAGATTATGGTTTCGAATTTGATTTTTACCATCATTCATCTCCCGTGTCATTTGCATCCTATCGGTTGGCTATATCTTTGAAGAGAAGCCACTTTATTGAATCAAAACCTTCTGGCTTGGCCAGCCGTTCCTTGGTTTTCTTTGCTTCTACAGATTCAGAACCAAAACGCCCTTATGACATCTCATTCATTTGGCACAACTTCAAATTGCTTAGAGTCTTGGATTTTGAATGCTTCAATTTGGGTATTTCATTTCCCGTAGAAATTGAAATTCTGGTACAATTGAGATATTTAGCAGTTGGAGGCTATTTGGAGTCCATTCCGCAGTCGATAGCCAACCTCAGGAAACTGAAAACTCTTATTGTGAAGGGATTAAGTCGTAAGATCACCTTACCAAATACTATCTGGCGCATCACAAGTTTAAGGCATCTTCATGTGAGTGTCCACGTTGATTTCGATTCAGATGCTGAAGAGCTTGGTGATTGCTCCATATTAGAAAATTTGATCAGTTTTTCCCGCCCATCTCTTTCTTGTGGTGAAGATGCAGAGAGGATTATAAAGAGGATTCCAAATCTTTGCAAACTGAGTTGCATATTCTATGAATCACCAGATTCTTCCATGAACTGCAATCATTTTCCGAGATTGAACTGTCTCACTCATTTGGAGTCACTGAAGATATTCTACTATGGAAGCCCTCTTAACAATGGCGAGTTCATCCTCCCTTTGAATCTAAAGAAATTGACTTTATCAAACTTTCGCCTTCCATGGAGTCATATATCCACAATTGGGAGACTACCAAACCTGGAAGTCCTCAAGTTACTTTCTGGTGCCTTTGTGGGGAAAATATGGAAAGTGGAAGAAGAGTTTCAGAATCTCAAGTTCTTGAGCTTAGACAATTTGAACATTGCTCAATGGAATGCCTCTTGTGATGATTTTCCCAAGCTTGAAAGACTCGTCTTACAAAATTGCAAAGACCTTGAAGAGATTCCTGCAGAGTTTGCAGACATATACACATTGGAGATGATTGAAGTACATTGGTGCAGTGAATCGGCGGAAAAATCAGCAATTAAGATTAGAGAAGAAACTGCAGATATCAAAGTCCTTATCAGGAGTTCAAATTTGAATTCATGAGCACAATTTGGATCACGTTAGTTGTACTTCCAGCAACTTGTAAGTCTATTTAATGATTTCCAGCTTTTCATACAATTGCTCCATTCATTTTTGAGATGACACCTGTTGTATTTCTATTTGCTTCAAGACATATAGCTAGTCGAAAACTACTTAATCTGCTGTTTCATAAATTGCAAAGCTCTGTAAAATCCGGGAAGGTGCATTTTCTGTCCTCTCGAAACTCATTGCGCGTTGTTGTCTTAATTCTAGTGCTAACTTGGATTTAAACTCGTTAGTACTGTTAATTGCTAATTTTGCAACAGACCACTCGTAGCTTCTTAAGCTAGGATTTTGATTTGGTAAATCATGTTTGAACTTGAACCTGAAAGCATTTTCTTTGCCTTAGATATTTTGGGGAATTGGTGCTCAAAGGAATGGAGGTTCAGGTCTATAACTTGAAGACTACTCAGCTGGAACTTTGGAGGGTCTCGTTCACCATAAGCAAGAAGTTGTTGCCAAGCTTTGCCTCTCATTGGAACCTTCTAATTTTGTATTCTAGATTATGTTTTTGAACTGATGTAGCAATCTGACCCTGATTGCTAACTAGCATTTTGCCATTGCCTCTAGTTATAGAGCTCTACCTACTTGTTATATCATACAGTGAGTATTTTATGTTGAATTCACAAAGAACTGATGAAGCAGGGAGCCACTAGATGCTTGTTTGATGAAATTGGAATGCAATTGCTTGTTATGGTCAAAGACCAACTTTCTTCACCCTTCATTTTGTGTTTGGATATGCTCATTGGTGACCACCTTTTTATTATTTTGATCTTGTTCATCGTGGAATATTGAGGAATTTGTTGGCATGTTTGGTGGATTTTTTAGATTGGATGTTGTGTATTGGGACCAATGGCCTTGAAATCCTTACTTCCTTACTTAATACATAAGAACGATTTTCAAGCTTTCCGTTTCTACAGTAGAGCGATTTTCAAGTGCAACTTTGCTTAAATGGATGGTTTGTACTTTCGAGTGCTTCTCCTTGCTTAAAGGTATTGTACCTTTGAGGTGGTAGTGGTTGTTGTACTTTCGAAATTGGATACAGGAAATCGCTGATTAATTATCAAAGTTCGTAATGGCTATTGTGTTGAGATTTAATATCAGTTAAATATATTACCATAATGGTTACTAAAATTATTAGTAATATTACTAATAACAATAATAATATTATTATTACTAATGATTTCTAATAAAAAATTATTACTATATTATTACTAATACTAATATATTATTAATACATTATTACTAACATTATTACTATATTATAATATTATTAGTACATTATTACTAATAATAAATTATTAGTATATTGTTACTATATTAGTATTACATTAATAATAACACTACTAATGATACTAAGGATTAATCTTCTATATACTGACAATGTATACACTTTCATCATTAGATGCATGACACATAATTCGAATTTTAATTTAAAACTCAAATTTTACATATATGTCGTATATCCAACTGTGATAGTGTATACACCGTCACTATATATAAGATTTATTAAATAGGTAATAGTAATAACAATACCAGTAATATTACTAAACATGATAATAATATTATTATTATTACTTCAAAAATTTAAAACTACTAAAAATAATAATATCGAAAAACAATGAAAAAATGCAATAATACAACTAAAAAAATAAAGAAATTGATTTTACTAATATTAATGAAAAAAATAACATTGATTTTTCCACTTTTTCAACTACAACCAATGAAAAAAAATACTACTAAAAAACACCATTGTAATTAAATGAATGCCTTTTGATCAAGTAGATTTTTACATAACCTCTTTAGACTCTTTTGTCTTAAATTAGAATAGATTAAATTATAAAAATATTATTATTACCATAAAAAAAAAGACAACTCACAACTTTGACGGTTTGACCCCGAGACGGGTGATGTTGAGTACAACATATATGTAATGAATTATTGATGATCGTGCGATTATTTTCCTTATGAAATCGGAGTTTTTCCTTTGCTTTTGTTTTCTTTTTGTCTATTGAAATTTCTGTTGGAAATTTTGTAGGGCATATAAACATCTAATAATCGTTGTACTCATTTATTATTATTTTCTGAGTAATTTCAATAGAGTGCTTAATTGTTGAATTTATAGTAGTATCTACCACCACCTATCATCGGATATTGGCGATAAGTGTTTGTATTAGTGTTAATAATGGACTGTAAAGAGGATAAGGCTAATGAAGTTCAAATTGTAGCTAAATTGTAAATCTCGACATGTAGGCAAATTCTCTAAATTATGCATGATACCCAATTTTACACTCAAGCTAATATTTATATAATTTTGGGCATACCAGGCAAATCAAGAGAGTAAAAAACACACATCATTATGCATCGTATACTAGGCAAACCATTGTAACATTCCGTACCCCTCGGCAGAAATTGTACGATGTATGAATGGAACCCCCCCAGCCATCCACAAATCCACCAAAAGAAAAGAGGAGGAAAGATACCCTCACAAGGAAGAGCATCAGCAAGTATTTCCCAGATCACAACTGCCTCGTTAACTTCACTAGGAAGACCTGGAGAAGAACCATACTATCGTGTAAGATCAGGCTTTCCCTCCTCTTTTTCCCGGGCTTGGGACCGGCTGTCTGTGGAGACAGGCAGAGTTACAAGCATACTACCACACAAAACAGCACAAACATACAAACAAGCAGGCCACAATCAAGAACAATAGAGAAGAGAGTGCAGACTTATGTCACAAATTACTACATATTCCTTCAAAGCGACACACCAAACGAATACCAAGACTTGCCATATACTTATTTTCTTCTCTTGTTTTCATACCAAGTCTCACCTTTTATCATAACTGCAGACTTAACCATTAAATCAACTAAATCATCACCATTAGTTACGGACTTGCAAATTAGGGGAATCAACCACTGAAACAAATATGATGCAAGCATTGTACCAAAAAGAATTCGAAAAGGTTTAAGGAAAGCTCCAGTGAAGAGAATGGGATATAAAACAGATTTACATACAAAATAAAATAAAATAAAAAATTTGAAAAAAAATCATAATGCTAGAGACTGATAAAGATCAAATATTATACATTGCAATCATCCAAAAAATAGACCCTACTTATGGGACAGTCATACAATCACAGGGGCTTAAGCTGCACAGGCAAACCATATAGAACTAATGATAAGTTGACCTGGAAAACAGGAACTCTTTCATTTCATGAAAAATCCAACGAAATCAACCTCAAAGTTGTGTACGCACTTCAACCAAATTAATGATTTTCGATACTCGTAAACAAGGCATTTGGATTCCTCTCAATTTGTCAATCATTTACAAATGGTTATATATGAACATAAAAACCTGTGCCAGGGCCTGCCAAAATGGAACCATCTCCCAAAACAGCAACGCATACTATTGCCGATCTTAGATTGGACCTCTTGATGCCACACCATATCTGTTAGGACCATAAGCAAAGATTGTCCAACAGCTTCTTCCCAAGGACGACAGAATTCAGTTACATGCACTTTAAAGTTGCATACTAAACCTACGTACCAGAGGATCACAAAATTCAAGTATGAAATGAAATTCACACACAATACCAGTACCAGTGGTATGTAAGTTGATGACTACAAAAACAGATTGCATGCATCTGTTTTTACATGACTGACTACAATAACAGTACCTGTTCTTACATGACATCATCTGTTATTACATGACTGAACAATACCAGTACCTGTTCTTACATGACTACGAAAGCAGATATTGCATGCATCTGTTCTAACATGACTGAATCTAACTGAGAATAACCGAATTTCTCTTCCATTCAACTGTAGATGATGAACGCTAGCAGCTGAGTATTCAATGGTGATAGAGGAAGACTCCCGTTAGACCCTCTTCAACAATAATGGACATACCAAATACCACACACCAAAAGCCCAAGAACGATAGGAGGCAAGAAATATACCTACTTCGCCATGACCATGAACCCATACTGAGTTGCATCTTAGGCCGCACCCCATGGCATATCAGAAGTTTCTTTCCACATTCAAACATCAAAATCGTCAATCAAATTCCATGTAGACTAGGAAGAGCCACATCTTTACCATCTATATGACTTGAAAGGAGACAAAAATAGAAAATCCCAATTTCTGGATATCTTAAATTCACTGGAATAAGCATGTTTGCTACAAGAATATACAAAACTTTGCTAAAGACCCACCAAAACTCCTTTCATGCTATCAAAGCAGAATCTGCAAACTTCATTGAATATTAAAAACACCGTCGTGAATAAACCAGGACAAACAAAATGACACTGCAGTTGCGCTCAAGACATCCATTACAAATGATCAGGGATAAAAAAAACCTCTACATCTGCTTCGATTTCATGGGTGATCAGTAGCATGCAACTAGGATGGGTTAGTAATGCAGAAATTCAGGCTTGAAAACATACATCTGAGTTCAACTCCCAGCTCTTCCTGAAATTAAACCACAAAGAAAACCAGGCACAACCACGAGAGGAGAGCTCCTTCGAAATCATGTAGATCACAATACCAGGTAACAATATAACCAGAGATTCTTGCAAATAAGCTCCCTAAATGGAAACCAGATAAGACTAATAATAAGCCCAGCAATAATCACACACAGCATATGCAAAATCAATCAGGATCAGGGTAAACCATAATTTTTCCCATTCCTCTGAAGTTCTTCTTTGCATCCCCTAATTCTGATAATTCACCCCCCATCTGTCATTCTATGCAAGAACATCGAATAGTGACAGTTTTAACAGATCAAGAAGCTAATTGATGTCAAAATTTTCCAAGAACTTATACCGGACCCTGACGAACACGACAAACCAAATATTTCTATGCACCCTTTATTCTTTCAAATACTTCCTAATGAACTTCAATAGTAAAACGCTGAAAACACAGCATAACAGGGTAACTATCATGACTAATTCAGAATTCATCCATCAAAAGCTCATGAATACTCATAACGAATAAAACATTTTTCTTGAACCTGTTACTCGAGCACCTAACCATGATCAAAGCTCCTATATCCAATCTGCAGAATTAAACAAATTATAAAGCCTGACGAATGCATCAGTAATGTTTTCAACAAACACAACAGGACAGCATGAAGAGAGATTCCATGATTCAAACCACAGTACCAGGACATCAGAACATCTGAAAAAGAATAACGTCCAAGAGACCTCTAACCACAGTACCAGGACATCAGAACATCCAAGAGACCTCTATTTCTTCACAATCCTCTCGCTAAGATTAGAGTTCTGCAAGGGATACCAGGACATCAGAACCCAACTTAAACTCTGACACCAAGATGAAAACCAATATCAGAGCCGTCTATTAGTTGCCACCATCCAGAAATTTAGATTATATACATACCATCAAAACAAATTAGCATACCAAGCATAACGTTAATTCTTTTCAGAATTATATGAGTTAACAAGAAAACAGTCCCCAAAGAAAGGAAGGGCCTGGGATTAAGCTAATCGGAAATTAATGGAGCAGCCGCAAAATCAGTGGAGGTGAATTAGGGCTGGTTGCAGGAGTCCAGGAACTAACAGTTGGGATTAAGCAGTGATACACAAATCTGTACTCTTAAATGAGGATCAGGAACATGGACTTCCCAAGTGATTACTGCCAGAATAATTGATGCATAAGGTATTCCCATAAACATGATGGACTATAGAAGAAAAGGATCATGAAAATTTTAAATTAAATTTAAATTATATAATAGGCTTGACATCAGAAGAGTACCATACTCTGTCACCACCCTCACTGGAATTCTGTAAGTGTGTGATTACATGAATAGCCAACACAGACTTCAACTTGGCACAAAGATGAAATAAAAATTGTAGATCTGCCATATTTATCAAAACTGATAAATGTAGCATTCATTCTTCTTCAGACCATGATGAATCGGCAACACCAAAAACCCTACCTATACAAACATGTTAAGATGACAGAATTTAACACTTGGTTATACGCCAATCCATTTCTCATGGATCAGGAGAGTTGACTCTGCAGGAATTACTGCCAGACCAGGTAACAAACAATAAGAAAAGTTTAACAGAAAAATTACAAATAAGGTATCAAAACCCCTAAATTCCTCATGCACAAAAGATAAACTACCGACGACAGAACAGACCCCTATGTTTTAACCACACCTCCGAATCACTGAAATCCAGGATTCAACACAAAATAATATAGCAAATTAGAGAACGAGTAAAGAAAATCCATTTTAAAGAAAACAGCAAAAAAAAAAGGCAACGAAAGAGAGCTCATCCAAAATCTTGTTACAAAACTGGTTAGCAGGGCCCCAAATGCACCAACACTCCGGGAACAAGCTCCTAAAAATCAAAAAAGACAAAAGCCATCACCCACCACCCCCAGTGATTTTTTCAGGGAAAGAGAACATAGAAATAGCAGGTTGAAAAGAAAATCCCCCGATTTATTCCCATCCATCCAAGAGAGAGCTCCTCGCCTACACACACCACAAATCCACTTTTCTTGAAAGATATCAAAAGAAGCAGAGAAGAAAGGACAAATCTTGAAAAATCAACAAGAACAAAACACACAGTGATAACTTTTCCTTGAGGATCAGGAACAGAGACTTTCAAGAAATTACTGACAACAAATAATGCATAAGGCATTTCTACAAGCATGGTGGACTATGGAGGAAGAGATTTACAAAGAATTTAGATTATACTTTCTACAGACATCAAAAAGTACCAAAACTCTTGAAATGCTCAAGCCAAAAAAGAATAATAAGAGCATAGGTATGAAGATAAACCCCTCTATAATAATGTACTAGCCTTCGACCTGAGGACAGAGACCTATGTTTTGGCCACCCCTCTGATTCGACACAGACATAGTAAATTAAAGAACAAGCAGAGAAAATCATTTTTTAAACAAAACAGTCAAAAAAAAGAGAGTAGGGAAAGAGAGCGCTTATCCAATATCTTGTTACAAAACCAGTTAGCAGGGTACCAAACACACCGACACTCCTGGAACAAGCTTCCCTAAAATCAAAACAGAAAGAAGCCATCACCACCCTGATTTTTTCAGGCAAGAGAGAACAAAGAAAGACCAGATTGAAAAGAAAATCTCCCGATTTTATTCACATCCATCCAAGAGAGAGCTCTTCTAGCCTCCTCATACCAGAAATCCACTATTCTTGAAAAATGACATCTTGAGAAAATGACATCGAAAGAGCCAAAGAAGAGAAGACAAATCTTGAAAAATCACCAAGAACAAAACAAACCGTCATTAACCTCAAAATCTTTTTACCGTCTTTTTACCAATCAACTCTATAGGGGAACTGCTCAAAACCAGAGCAACTGAGTACAGCAATACAAAAATAAAGCAGAAAGCAAAACTCAAAATTAAGGATCACCATCACATCAATTCCATAATTCCAAGAAGAACCGCATCCCATAATTCTAAGAAACATCGCATCCAAAAAGCCCATGTTCCATCTCAAGTAGAGAGTTCTGCAAAGAAGTATGAGAACATGAATAGCCTACAAAGACTTGGCACAAAGATGAGAATAATCTTAAAATAAAAACTGTCGATAATTTACCATGCAATCAGACCAATATGCATAGCCTTAACACTTCTTCAGATCAAGCTGAATGAGCAAAATACCAGGAACCCCACCCATACAAATAAACTTGAATAAGCACAGAGATGCACTTGGTTATGACCCATTCTATTCATCGTGGATCAGGAAAGTTGACTCTGCAAGACATGCCGCCAGGCCAAAAAGATTCACAGAGAAATTATAATTAAGGCATTGAAACCCCTAAATTCCTCTAGCACAAAAGAACAATTTGTGTAGGTGAGAAAATAACTCCCTCCAAAAAATTTAACTAGCCCTTGATCTGAGATTGGGAAGGCAAGTTTGAAGCACGAATCACTTCACTGAAACCCCAAGCTGCACCCTAGTAATATGGGAAATTAGAGGAGAGGAGCAAATCCACAGATATCCTAATCAATTTCAAGGAAACAGCAGAAAAACAAGTAGGGAAAGAGAGAGCTCCTCCAAAATCTTGTAAACTGGAATAGCAGGTCACAAATGACGAGAACGCTCCAATCCAAACTTCCCTAAAATGAAGACAATAGATAAGCTATTACCAACGAATACCAACTATTTTTATGCAACAGAAAAAATTGCTTGGCAGAAAAAAAAACTCCCGATTTATCACATTCATCCATCGAAGAAAAGCTCTTTTTTGCTTCCATCCATCCAAGAATCACAAATCACTTCACTGAAACCCTAAGTTGCAGCACCATAGTAATATGGGAAATTAGAGAACAAGGAGCAAATCCACAAATTTCCTAATCAATTTCAAGGAAACAACAGAAAAACAAGTAGGGAAAGAGAGCTCCTCCAAAATCTTGTAAGCTGTAATAGCAGGTCACACAAATGACGCGAATGCTCCAATCCAAACTTCCCTAAAATGAAGACAACAGATAAGCTATTACCAACGAATACCAGCTATTTGTATGCAAAAGAAAGAATTGGTTGGCAGAGAAAAAAATTCCCGATTTATCACATTCATCCATCCAAGAAGCTCTTTTTTGCTTCCCTCCATCCAAGAATTACTTCCATACGCAGAACTCCATCATTCTCAGACCACATCAAAGAACCAGAAAAGAAGACAACCTTTAAACATCAACCAGAACCATTCAAGAATAACTACATCAACAAACCGCAAAACCTCAAGATCAATCCTCAATCAACACCACAGAGAAATTGCTGAAACCCAGAGCCACGACATATAGCAGCAACACAACCTAAAGCAACGACTGAAACACCAATGTTGAGCCCCAAATAAGAGATTATGTTCAAATACGTCCAATTAATTCACAGAATAACATACAAGAGACCTTCCTCTCATTAAAGTTGCCAGTGACACAAAAAGCCAACAAAAATGAAATTGGATGCAAAGATGAGAACTGACAAATGAATTGACAAATTCAGATAATCTACCATAACACTAAACCTATTCATGTAACAAGCATAAACTTGATTCTTGTTCGGATCAAGAAGAAAATTCTATGGGAACTACCTAGAAAAACATCTTTGATGGCAGAATTTAAAAGCTAAGAAATACCTGACAGCAGCAATATTGCCATATTGACACAATCCTAAGCATCTGAGGACCATATGGAACCAAAATAAATTCAAAACCCTGAAGACAACAAATGGGCAAAGATAACTCTGATGGAGAAGCAGCAAAGTATGTGCAGGCAAATTGGATGGAGAGGTTGAAAGCTATTTCAATGGTGTTTCTCCCGGAGTTCTGAAAAGAAAAATACTCAACAAAACTGTGTACAGGTATCAAAAGGTGCCAAAAGCATAAATTCCTAAGTAAAAGATTGTAAGAAGATAACTCCCTCCAAAACAGTTTACCATCTGAGGAAGGAAGGCTCAGTTATCACAACTCCAAATCACTGAAACCCGGTATTGCACAACACAGATTGATGCAGGAAATCAGAAAACGAACACAGCTGTCTCACAGAGCAAACCAGCACCTTTAGCCAGAGAACTCCCTAGTCAAACAGCAGAAAACAAGGACAGAGAACTTCTGGAATCTTGTAAACCAGTATAGCAGGATAAAAAATGCAACCAGACCCTCTTGCATTCAAGCTCCCCTAAATCAATACAACAGAGAGGGCCAGTTACTAATTGACTCCCCGCCTAATTTTTTCAGGAAATAAAAAAGGAAACCAAAAAGGGAGGGGGGAAAAACTCCCAATATCGTATAATATTCGGATGCAATATCTTTTTTAGCTCCACCTAAGACTAGGATTCTGCCAGCTCCACCTAAGACTAGGATTCTGCCAAGCCACGAGGAGGACATCAAAAGAACAAGAAAAAGAAAAGACGACGATCTTGATAACAAAGAACAATCGGGAAATTACTAATCAACAAACCCGACAATTGTAAAAACACAAATCTTCATCAATCTTCGAACGACACCACACCAAAACTATTCAAAGTCCAGAGCACCACCTACAGCAATAAGAACAACAATAACCATACCACAGATACGAAAAAAAAACTCCAGGATTCAGATTACGCTTACATCCATCCAAGAGAGAGTTCCTTCCCACTGTACATGCCCGAAATCCATCATTCTACAGTAAGCACATCAAAAAAACCAGAAAAGCACTAATTTTGGAGGAGACTTGATGTCAAATTTGTCTGATAATTGGAATTATCCAGAAATTACCACAAAAACAAACCAAAACTACTGCAAAAAATGGTATCCTTCCCGTTCAATCCTTCGAAATACCAGAGCCACTGCCCGGAAACAACCATGATTAAATCTCAAAAATTGCCATAACAAAATTAGCGATAATAAGCTTCAAATTAATCAAATCATCAAACCATAGAAGCAACGGTCGAACCCAGTGAAGATCATCAATTGAAGATCCTAACCTTCTGCTGAAACAAAAAACCACAACAATTGAATCTCACTTAGGGAAAACCTAATCCTAGACTCAAGAGAAAGAGCAGCAAAGTAGGTGCAGGCAAATTGAATGGAGAGGTTGAAAGCTATTTCAGCAGTGTGTGTCCTGAAGTTCTAAAAAAGAAAAAAAAAACTCGAGAAAACAGCGTGCAGATATCAAAAGGTGCCAAAAGCATAAATTCCTCAAGCACAAGATTATGGGTGAGAAAACTCCCTCAAAATCAGTTTACCATCCGAGGAAGGCAGGCTCGGTTATCACCACAACTCCGAATCACTGAAACCCTATATTGCACAACACAATCCTAGACTCAAGAAAAGAGCAGCGAAATAGGTGCAGGCAAATTGAATGGAGAGGTTGAAAGCTATTTCAACAGTGTGTCCTGTAAGTTCTAAAAAAGAAAAAAAAATCGATAAAACAGCGTGCAAATATCAAAAGGTGCCAAAAGCATAAATTCCTGAAGCACAAGATTATGGGTGAGAAGATAACTCCCTCCAAATCAGTTTACCATCTGAGGAAGGAAGGCTCAGTTATCACCGCAACTCCGAGAAGACCCAGAGGAAGGAAGGCTCAGTTATCACCACAACTCCGAATCACTGAAACCCTATATTGCACAACACAATCCTAGACTTAAGAGAAGAGCAGCGAAATAGGTGCAGGCAAATTGAATGGAGAGGTTGAAAGCTATTTCAACAGTGTGTGTCCTGTAAGTTCTAAAAAAGAAAAAAAAAACTCGATAAAACCGCGTGCAGATATCAAAAGATGCCAAAAGCATAAATTCCTGAAGCACAAGATTATGGGTGACAAGATAACTCCCTCCAAATCAGTTTACCATCTGAGGAAGGAAGGCTCAGTTATCACCACAACTCCGAATCACAGAAATCCTATATTGCACAACACAAGTAATGAAGCAAATCAGAAAACGAACACCTCGCTGAGCAACTCAGCATCTATAGCCAGAAAACTCCGTCAAACAGCAGAAAAGGAGGACAGAGAAAACTTCTCTCGAATTTGGTAAACCAGTATAGCAGGGTAAACCCTCTTGCATCCAAGCTCCCCTAAATCAATACAACACATAAGGCCAGTTACTGATAGACTCCCCGACTAATTTTTTCAGGAAATAAAAAGGGAAACCAAAAAAGGGACGAGGGAAAACACTCCCGATGCCGTATAATATTCGCGTCCAGAAAGTCTTTTTTAGCCCCACCGAAGACTAGGATTCTGCCACGCCACAACGAGAACATCAAAAGAACCAGAAAAAGAAAACACGAAAATCTTGATAACAAAGAACGATCCAGAAATTACAAATCAACAAACCCAACAATAGTAAAAGTTGAATCTTCCTCATCAATCCTCGATCGTCACCACACCAAAACTACTGAAAGTCAAGAGCACCGCCTACAACAATAACAACCACAAATATGAATGAAATAAAAACTCCAGATTCAGATTACCCTCACATCCATCCAAGAGATAGTTCCTTCCCACTCCACATGGCCCGAAATCCATCATTCTACAAGAACCACAGCAAGAAAACCAAAAAGAAGAACCAAAAAGGGCTAACTTTGAAGGAAATTTGATGTCAAATTTGTCCGATAATTGGAATGATCCAGAAATTACCACCAGAAATTACCACATAAACAAACCGAAACTAGTGCAAAAACTGGTACCCATCCCGTTCGATCCTTCAAAACACCAGATCCACCGCCAAAAACACAATCATGATTAAATCTCGAAAATCACCATAAAAAAATTAGCGATAATAAGCTTCAAATTAACCAAATCATCAAACCATAGAAGCAACGATCGAGCCAGCGATGATCATCAATTGAAGCTCCTAACCTTCAACTGAGGCAAAAATCCACAGCAAACGAATCTAATTTAGGGAAAACCTAACCCTAGAACCTAAACAAAACCTACGACGAAGAAGAGCAGACAAATATCTTACCACACAACTAGCAGGCGAAAATGGTAAGTGTCGGTGGATGGGATTGGGTATTTATAGATGTTTGGGAAGAGAATGAACGGTTAGGATTAAGCTGAAATCTGTGATCTGGTCGGTTGAAAAGAGGTCTTATCCAAAAGTCCGCTAGGACTTGGGCTAAGATTCTCCTACGCGTATTGTACAAAAGTCGGTTGTTTATTTAATTTAGGAAATTTGGCCACCACAAGATTTATAGATTTTTTATTTATTTATTCTTTTACCAAAATTATTTTTGAAAAAATCCTTGACAGCTTGGGAAACATTGGACTTGTTTGGACAGGAAGAATTTGTAAAATTTGGATTGCAAATTTGTTTTGTATGATTTGTAATATGTGAAGATGTTTTGTTTTGGAAGTTTGTAATTTGAATTGTGGCAGTCCGGAGGGAAGAATTTAGACCGTAATTATGAAATTGTCAGGAATGGAAGAATTTTCACTTCCTTAGTCAAATTTGTTGGTGTCCGGTCCCACTGCAGGAGAGAGACGGATTCTTGAATACTTTTGGCACTTCAGCAGAGAGTGGTGTGTATGGGCCAAACATATGAAATTGACCGGGTCCCACAGTTTCAATTCACTTTAGGAACGTGGGAGGACAATTCACGGCAATTAAAGAGCTGATGAATTGGCACCTGATGAATTTTTGGCCAGCTACATTGCAGTGGTCAAATGCAAACTGTTTTTGTTCTGGGGGGAACCCATCAAGCTATTGAAGGACGATATGTACTACGAGTAACATGGAAATTGGACGAGACTGCATAGGATTTGCACGTTCGGGCAAGTCTGTCCACCATCTATGGAGGAGAATGCTGGAATTCTGTTTGCAATCACCTGTAATCCTGTTTGCAATCACCTGTAATCACCTGTAATTGATGCGTTGTTTTATTTAATTTTTAACTATTAAACTGCAGGAGGAGAATTAGGAAAGGTGTCTAAGTCGAGGAAAATTAGCCCTAAGTTTTGCAGCAAGGCTTGTCTAGAGACCTACAAAATAAAACTCCTGACTTGCTGATAGAAATAGCAAACGACATGCAACAAGAATATATGAGGCACATACAGGATATAGAAGAATTACAAATATAGAATTACAACGAGTAGCAACGTCCATATTTAGGGTCACAAGATATATAGTCGGGCATGACAAATTATTAAAGGTACTTGGTCATTCTTGTAGGCGCCTCTAGCGAATATCAAATCATGGGTTCACCTGTTTCATGCATTTTATCGCCTATTTCTATAGGCATTGAACATATGCGTAGCCAGTGTGTCTCTCATGCCAATCCATTGCTCAACAACTTCAGGCGGAGAATGCAATGGCTGTATCTCGGGATAAGGAGGAATTGCACCATGAATATCTAGATCTCCCTCCTCCGCGTCAGCAAAGTACATGTCATTCGGTTGTTGATCCCTAATGAAGTTATGCACGGCACAACAAGCAATAACTACATTTATCTGTGTTGTCATCATGTAGTTCGGAACGGCTCCCCTTAAAATGGCAAATCTCCTTTTTAGGACACCGAAACTTCGCTCTATGACATTCCGTAGTGCAGAGTGCCGGTAATTAAACAGCTCTTTCGCAGTTGCAAATCTCCCCCTCCTGCGACCACTAACATCAGCTTGGCGTCCCCTATATGGTGGTAAGAAACCGGGCAAGTTTCGATACGCGGAGTCAACCAAATAATATTTTCCTAAGTCAATTATGAGATAGGAACGAATTAGCTTTGACCATTTCGAACTTTCTGATCTTTCGTACAATTTATTGAATATCGGTACGATTTGATAAACAATTTGAATGGAAGATTTACTAAAGAATGTTCAATTGAAAAATGGTTTTTCAAATATACTTGCTAAGGCAAATTTAAGACAGCAATTTAAGAGATCCAATATATATATCATTCGGTCTGCTAAGGAATGGGATAAAAATATGCAATTGCTTTCCAAATTTACGTGAAGGGAGGGATTACTTGTATTACCTGTAGGAGGCATGGGGAAGTGATTTGGGCCGGTCAAAGCCCCATCTAAGACTCGGGCATCATGTGCACTTCCTTCCCAACCGGCATACACGTACACAAATCGCATATCATGGTCGCACACAGCCAAAACATTTTGTGACTGTACACCGTGTCGATTAGTGTATGCCACTTGTTGTCCTCTTGGGGCACAAGCAGGTATATGTGTCCCATCAATAGCTCCGACGCAGTCCTAAAATTTTAAATTATTAAAATGGACATATTCTCGGGATTCTGAAATGGATCTGCATTAAAATGTCATTTAAAAAAAACACTCCAGTGGCATACTCTTCGTCCATGTCACACCCAAAATTTCTGACAGAAGACTTATCTCTACTGCAACGTCATGACAAATCTACCCAATTGGTTTTTAACATCAAGAATGTACCCAGTGGGGTCAACCACTTTTTTGTTTTCTGGATTTCTGGGCAAAGTTCATCAAACGCATGGAAATAGGTGGAAGTGCTAAAGATGAAAAAAGTTCAGGTTCAAAGAGGGACAAGTGAGAAAGCTACGGAGCCAGGAATTTATTTTTGGGGGGCTGAAGTGTATTAAAATTTTTTTTTTGTGACGAAATAAATACATTTAATAAGTAAAATTTAGAATCAAATAAATATATTTAATAAGTAAATATATTTAATAAGTAAATATATTTAATATATTAAATAAGTAAATATATTTAATATATTAAATTTTAGAAATTGCATGTCTTCTATTTCGACGTTTCTGAGATAGATTACCGTGTTTATACAGCCATCACACTCATGTCCCACTAATATTGCATATGTGTGATTAATGTGATATACATTGGGGAAAAGAAAAAGAAAAATTAGGTGACATGTGAAGTCAACTAAAGGCGACGGTGAGGCCTTGATCCTCAATATATATAGGGGACATTTGTTAGACTTGTTCTGCTCTGAACTTGGACATTTGTTACTCTTTTTCATGCGTGAAGAGGATTAGCTGTTTCTAACTCTTTTTCCTGAAGTAACCATGTAATGATATCCCACACTGCATATCATGTAATGGGAACAATTGTTAATTTTATGTCTGGTTAAAAATTTCCCTTTTTCTGGAGTCTGGATTAAATTTTAAAAATTTTCATACTAGACTTGCATAGACTTCTTCGCAGGGAACGCAAAACTCAATAGGCCTGCACTTTCCAAACTTGACTTGCTGTTGACGGTGGACAAACCTGTAATTTATTTGCTATCTAGAGTTTGTAAAAGTCCACTGACGCTGATGGTTCCTAATTGAAATTTTATTCTGTAGTTGGCATTACTGAAAAAAAAAATGATGTGCTCATCCTCCTAGTGTTGTTAGACAAAATTCCAATCCCAAAATTAACTCTTTTGCCGAAAACAAGAAAAGATATGGCATTTCCTTATTTTGTTAATTATTTGATGACCTAAAATATTAAGCACAGAATTACAAATCCAACCAATAACAAGTAGAAATTCTTAACAACAACATTAGGTGGTTCCCTAATGTAAATTAAAATATTCATGTCCATTTATAAGCTATCAACATGAATAAATAAAATAGTTGGCATATTAGAATGTCAGCATACTTGAAAAAAAGAATTTTATATATAGAGGACAAAGGATTTGGAACAAAGGATTTTTTGAATCAACGAGATAGGATTTTGAATGTCACCGTACTTCAAACCAAGGATAAAACCTCGTGTCATTAAGAATTTTCGGATGAATTTCATCCTGCCATCTTGGAGTAATTGCGAATTGCGCGAAGGTGCATAGGCCCCGAATGACTTCGTGAATATTTCGATGTACTGTCTCCGTCGAATGGTTAAATCGATCAGCAATCATACGCATTCTCATGTTGTGGCTCATCATGACCAATGTCATCGCAAGTGCCTCCTCTATTGTAACCCTTTTCTGATGATTTTGGGGAACAAATCCGCATTCGGCCAAAAGCTGGCACAACCTCATGAAAGAATCAACGTTTAGCCTTGTTGCATCCATGATCCGGGTATGGTGGCCTGACAGCACTTCCTCAACCCAGTGTCGTCCTGACAGCGCAGACGTCCTGCATGGCACCTTCTGGAGTGGACCTCCGTATGGTTCTGCATTTGGTCCAAATAGCAGCGCAGCACCCGCAGCAAAAAGAACATCGTCTTCGTCCGAAGACGAGCTGGTCCCCTGCTCATCTCCGAAGTCGCTCATTTGGAACCTTTCCCACCAAATATGTTGCCAGGAACAAGTAGTGTTTAGCCCAAATAGAGGATGCTATATAAGAGCTGTGTGAGGTCTGAGTTATCACATGCTCTCTTTCCGTATGTTATTCTCGGACTATGGTATTTTTTGCATGGGGTCCAATGGCCTGACATCACGTGAATAATTATTGTCTGCAATTATTTCACCGTGTCGGTAGGTCATCTTTGGATGCCAAAACAAATGACCTGTGGGCAGCTTTTGCCAGGCACAAATCGGAAAGGCCTGTGGGAGTATCTACTTTCTTGCTCCTCTCTTTTGGAGTTTTGTGTAGATGGTGGCCTTGCATAATGAATATGGTATGTGTAGAGGTTCTGTACATATGCTTGACTCATATGTTGAAGATCTTTTCAGTTATATGAAAAATCAATTAAAAAAGAGGAGAAATGACTTCATTTGCTTTTGTTACAAATCACTCGTGCTTCATTTGCTATTTTCTCCTGCGTACCAAGTCCTAACATTTGAAGAGTTATTTTTTCCAACCAGGACAGGAACGAAATCTGTGAGCATCTATATTTGGCAGTAGAAGAGTAGTATATGAAAATTGGCAAAGAATGTTGCACGTCAATAATTGAGTAACCATGATATGTAACCACCAAAGAATGTAACCGGCAATTGAGTAATGAATATAATTCCTTCCTGATGAATGCCAGAGGCATGATATGTTCAATGCGTTTCGACTTCTCTACATATGCGAACCCAGTATATATATGTCAGACGGCAAGTCCGACAAGCTCTCGTGGTTTACTCCTGTACATAGCTTTCAACCTGCAACTGCTAGCTACTTATTGAATGTTTAATACAGGAGTAACGATAATATATATAACTCCAAGCCAAAATAACTACAAATGAAACAGTTCCAATTCATTCCACCGGGAAAAAGACAACTCAACATCGACAAGAGTATGCAAACTAAATAATACATATTGGCAGTACATAGAAAATCAATTGCAGTAGCCAAATTGCAGTAGCCAATTTGCTTTGGTACCAAAAGTCCCAATACAAATCTTTTTTCAATGTCCAGAAGAGTCAAATGAATAGCGCAATTTCATTCCAATCTATCAGTCGAAAGTAAGCTAAGCCGAAGGGACACAAGCAAGGCCAAGTGAAGTCTACTTTCCATCGGGTCCCTTAGGAGGGGGTTTCTGTAGAGTCTGCAACCAAAACTCCTGCATCTCGCGACTAAGACTCAGGAAAGTCTTCCGCCACTTGTCGTCTTGGAGTGCCAAAACTGCAGCGAGCTTCACCTCTTTGTCCAGTTCTTTGAACGATTCCACAACCTGGGCTCCCATTTCCGGTCCAAATTTATCCTTTTCAGATTCTCGGCGACTCCTGATATGCAGCTTAGAATTCGCTAGGGTGGATAGTGAGTTGGCACACTCCACGAATGGATCAGACGAAGTTCTACTTGACTTGCTTCCCCGGGATGCACTCGGGCCCGAGCTCGTTATCCCCTGGCTGCTTGAACCTCGCTTCACTCCAGCAATTGGAGTATCTTCATCGAAACCAGTCCCCTGCCCGGCATTGTAGATTTCATCTCCCAGGGGCGATGAGAAAACCTGCCCAGAACTTTGGCCAGCTCGTTTGCGTGGATTGTAAATTGAAGGCGGTACTGAAGATGCCTGCGCTTGACTCCCTGTGGCGGTTTCTGCTTCAAAGACCTCGTGCAGGATTGCGTATTTGTCGACACATTGGCCGGATCTAAAGTATCCATAATCCTTATTCTCCTGAATCAAAGACAAAACAAGGACTGAGAAACAAGAGTATGCAAATCTGATGTAAACTGGTTTTTTATAATTGAGAGGACAACAAGTACATTTGAAGAGTAGTATATGTTCCCTTAATCAACATATAGATACCAGGCAAGAGTAGTATATGTTCCCTTAATCAAAATATATCATGAACAGGTAACCGAATAGTGAATGATGGCAAAAAGATAAGGCCAAAGTTTTTAGTTCTGCTTTGGAACTGAATTTTACGTCGAAATTAAAAAATACCAGGCACAAATTGTTCCATTGAGAGGGTTCTCCCAAGAAGCACCTCCTATTCTCGTCCCAACCAATACCAGTTTCGGAAGTTTGTCGCAGACCCTTTAACTTGGCAAAGCAGCGCCAAATCTTCTTCAACCGTGCCAGTTTAGAATGGTACACTGTCCATGCATATTGCTTCCCCCAGGCGGCATTCAAGTGCGCAGCAAGCTTCATCCAATTGGCCTCTGATGCAACGTTTGGATTCCACTCCCCACTCCTTTTCCACTCGACGAATGTCATACAGAAATGAATCTCCATATTTTCATCCCAATGGGCCTTTGCCGTGGTGTGGTCTCGTGGCATCTGAAACAAGGAAACCAAACGGATTGCTAAGCATTAATAACAATCTGGTTGAAGGAAGAACAATTGACAGATTACAAGATCATGGCAATTCATTGTACGGCTAAAATCCTATTTATCAAAGCCACTGCAGCAAAGCAAGTGCAAAGCTTGGATCCACGAATTTCAATGCCCACCGAATCAGAAATACGATTTATCCAGTGACACGAGCTCTATAAATTTAAACCCATTATAATTCATAGACATGTTTTAAATATGGGACAAAGTGATAAGAATATTAAGGCTTAAAAGAGCTCGTGTACAAGTACTCATACAAACTATATTATACGGTAAAAATAATAGAGATCATGGTCGTATACACCAAATAGCAAATACTTATCCATGGACTCGGGAATGGTTCGAGATACAATCTGGTCTGCCTAAGAATATAAGAGCGCAGGTAATTAGCTTTTACTACTCAAAATTTTTTATTTGGGATTGATGAATGGACTGATTTGAGAACAGAGGCCAGTTAACTTGGATAGAGTCCAAACTTACTCTGAAATAGTTGACGAGGGACTGGATGTAGTCGTTCGAGTCTGTGGCAGAGTGGACGGATGAAGGTTCAGAAAGACGGGGTGGAGTAGTAGGGCCGGACAGTGATCTCCTCCGCTTGCTGGGCATTTACTGGTGCTCTACTTCGGCCAAAAGGTCATGGCACGCACGGACCTCGGACTAGATCATAAACCACCTGAGGAATATTTATTGCAGCAGGCAGATATGCTCACTGGTACATGTGGAGGTAATATCCGAGAATGAGCAATTATTATAAAGAAAGGATGGGGAACTACTACTGGGTTATAAAATATTTCCCTATGCATCCATTCGATATTTTGGATCAGTTGGGAAACCATTTTGTCGCTTTGTAAGCTGATGAATATGGCCGGCAATAGAAGGCAAAGTCTTCAAAACGTTAAAAGGATATAGTCGAGTTTTCTATAAAATTTATACAAGATCATTCTATTTATAAGCCTTTGGATCTTTTAAGAAACAAATTATGCTACAAATTGCCAGATAACTACATGGATTTAGGGTTTCTCGTCCATGTTTTTTATTTTTCTGATCATAGTCCCCTTATTTGCTCAATTAGCTAATTAATTGCCGGATGGTAATCTATGACTAGAATTGGTTGGATACTTTTCTGTATACAGAATTGATCCCTTAGAATTATATTTAATGATGTAAGTTATTGATCCCTTAGCATGTTTTAGGAGTGCTAATCAATAATATTCTAAGCCAGGGCAAGAGTAGTATATTCTTAATGCAGACATTAATTGAAAAGAGGAGCTCCTTTTATTCATTGAAAAGGTTGTACCAGCAGCTTCAACCAAAAAGTAACGAGCATGGCCGAACCTCCTCTGCGTCATTGGTACTTCTAAGTGATCGGGGATTTAATTTTAAAATATGAAATTTTAACATGATTAGTAGATCCAATATATTCATCTCAATTATATAAAGGAAACCTATTTGACAACATATATGAAATCAGAAGAGCATAATTTTGTAAACTATTAGTACGGATACCAGCAATAGCACCAACATTTTCAGCATTTTGAAAATCTAGTGAATGGCCTGATCAAAACATTAGAAAAAAGGGCCGACTGATTAAGAAGAAAACTGAATTGGGATTGGCTTCCAAATTACACGTAATCTGTGAATATTAGGGAATGTAGATATATATGCGTAAACCAAAAAGGATTTTGAAGGGCGGGTGAATATATATTGGGCAAACGAGGGAGGGGCTTTGGGTATATGTGACCTACAAAATACACACTTAAGAATCCCGGCCAAATCATGAAATTGAGTAGTTAAACCATATTACCAATCTCAGACAGGAAATGATAATATCAAAATTATACCTGCCAAATCTGATTTTAACTTGGATAGAGAAGTCTGGCCTTCCGATTTTCCGCAAAAGATTTCTGGATTTCTGATTTCTGTGTTCGGTATTGACAACGCCGTCTGCTCCTATGGCTTGCCAAAACCCAGACGATCTCCTTCTTCGTTCAGACCCTTTAGAACAAACCAAGCGCTTAATCAACCCACTTTCACAGCCAACCGATTTCTGCAAATCTTCCTCTTCGGTACTTGGTCGCACAAGCAAGTTAGGCAATTTAAGATTTTGGGGTGAAATGATTCTGCAGGAGGACAGAGCTGCATAGAGTTGTTTTGGGGGAGAAAAGAGTTAAACGAAGGTTTTGCAGGTCGTTTTGTTACAAAGACCAACGGACGGATCACGGGCCAGACAAAGCATGGGTGTCTGGCCCTAGATGGGACATTAAATTCGTTTATCTGGCACTTCACGTGAACAAGTAGAATTTCTCTTCCTTTTATGGCTTTTGTGGGGTCAACCATCGCGGCTAACCAAAACTTGTAGTCCGACGTGTCCAAACAAGAATTTCAAAAATTAACTTGCTGTAGTAAACTCCGCAAAGCAAAAGTACTGTCCAAACAAGTCCATTCTCAACACTTCCCTGTTGAATTGTTGACAGCTGGACTTTGATATCAGTAGTACTTATCTTGTGAGAAGAACTGTTTTTTGTTATTATTTTCTAGAGTTCTCGCAAAGAATATATCCGTAGAAAATGTAAAAAAAAATTTATTAAAAAATCAATTCGTAGAAAAGACATAATTTTTTTGAAGAAATATGGCAATCATAACAAGGATTACTTTGGTAAATAGTAAAATTTTATTAAAAAATCAATTCTTAGAAAAGACATAATTTTTTTGAAGAAATATGGCAATCCGAACAAGGATTACTTTGGTAAATAGTAAATAATTGATTTGTTTGGACAGATTATTATTTTAAAAAATATTTTCAATTACATCTTAAACAGTTGACATAAACATGTTGTTGGTATATTTATGTTCATTAATATAATCTCCTTGATTTTTTTATTTGTGTGAATAAATAAAATAGTTAAAAGTTTTAATTTCAGTTACAATCTCATAACAAAATAGCGATTGAAATGCAATATAGATAGCAAGTTTGAGTAGGGATATCGGGTACATCTATGTTTATTAGTATAATCTCCTTGATTTTTTTAATATATGTGAATAAATAGATACTAAAAATCTTTAATTTCAATTACAATCTCATAACAAAATAGTGGTTGAAATACAATAATAGATAGCAAGATGGAGTAGGAATTGTTGTGTGATTGATGTTATAGATAATTATTTTAAAAAAATTGATAAATAATTATTATTCAAAAATATTTTTAAATTCATTATATCGGGTACATCTATGTTTATTAGTATAATCTCCTTGATTTTTTTAATATGTGTGAATAAATAGATACTAAAAATCTTTAATTTCAATTACAATCTCATAACAAAATAGTGGTTGAAATACAATAATAGATAGCAAGATGGAGTAGGGATTGTTGCGTGATTGATGTTATAGATAATTATTTAAAAAAAATGATAAATAATTATTATTCAAAAAATATTTTTAAATTCATTATAAATACTCGTACTTTACATCATAAATATGTTGGTATATCTATGTTTGTTTAATATAATCTCGTTGATTTTTTTTAATATACAAAATACTCAAAAGTTTTAATTTCAACTATAATCTCATGATGAAATAGGTGTTGAAATGCAATAATAGATAGTATATTATTTGTCAAAATTTATTTATTTATATTATTAATATATTTTTTAATTACTCTTTATCTCACATACATTATAAAAATGCTACATTATTTTTTCAAAAAAATTATTTCAAATAATCTATTATTCAAACACAGGCGGCATACAGATATTGTTGGCTAATTGACGTGGTAGATAAGTATTAGACAAAAACATTAATAAGCAATTGAGTGCTAATTATATTTTTCGATTGGACAAAAATGTGAATTTGGAGACCTTTCTTTTTCTTTTTTTTAAAAAAAAAATGGACTGAGTGAGAAAGTCAAATGGTCTAAGGGTCTGTTTGGTTGGCAGTAAAATGTTTTTCTTGGAAAAATATTTTCCGTGGAAGTAATTTTTCATGAAAATCATTTCTCTTTCATTATTTTCAGATGTTTGGTTAGTTTATTGAAAATATTTTCTTACTTCATTTTTCTGGTGTTTGTTTAACTTTTGAAATATTTTCACTTTTATCTCTATCTTTATTTTCTACACATTATAACTACATACTTCTTCTCATGCAAAATAAGAAAATTTATCTCATTATTTAACTTTAAAAAATCTTGGAGAAATGTATATATGAATAAAAAATATCTCCTTAAGCAATAAACAAATTGCTAGCCATTTAGTGTTAAATATCAATCACATGCAATGCTTATTGTGACATATATCTTGCACTCTCACTGCTGAAAGTTTCTCTAGAAAAGAATGTCCCTATTATACATAATTAATTACTAGCATAGGATGAGTAGGATGAGGTTTTTTTTTTTATTATTTTGAATATACTAGGGGGAGAGTTGGGTTGGGTTGGGTGGTACGGGGGAGGGAGTGTAAGGAAGAGATCTTGAGTTCGAATCCTTCTGTTTATACTAAAAAAAAAAAGAACATACTACAAGATATTTTCAGTAAGTTTGGAACATGCTACAGGCGGGATGCATGCATTTTGGAAAACAACTTCAGTAAGTTTGGAAGGGAAGTTGTTTTCCATAAGATGAGTGAAAATATTTTACATAGGAAAATGTTTTCAGTAACTTTTGTGCAACCAAACACGGGAAATTAGGAAAATATTTTCCTGAAAAACATTTTCACCCGAAACAAACGGACCCTAAATGAAGCATAAGAAGACTCCAGATTTCTGTGAAGTTGATATTGGGCTGGAGTACTCCAGAAAATTCCAGACTCCTCTGATGTCTCATTAGGCCCATCTTGAAAATGAACTCCATCATTGCCCAGTTGGGCTGACAATATGCACCATGTTCCTGTAAACTTCTACGAGACCGGGCTTCAGCCTTTAATGTTTAAGCTTTGTAATCATTCTTCAGTTTCTAGGAGATTGGGCTTGGCAGCTGATTTGTGGGCACTTTGCCATGGCATCTGAAGTTTTGACATGCTAGAGTCGAGTCGAATTCTCAAGTGGATATTCAACTTGTAAATCAGATCATGGGTGTGGAAATTGGGAACTTGTCACCAGATTTTATGGATGTTTCCTTCCTTCATTGTGCTACTATTACGTAACTGGCAATTAGGTCTCCGATTGACCCAAAAAAAAAAGACTTGGGTATTTAATATTTTTGCTTCTTTGTAATTCTTTTTGGTACAAAGTGTCATCATAAATTTATGACCTTTATGGTCGATATGTGAGATTTTTTTTTTTTTTTTTGGAGATTGTCTCACATTAATAAGCTATAAAATCACTAGTTCTTTTCACTTAAAATAATCTTGTGTATACAAAACTAAAAAATGATTCAATACCCTTGTTTAAGTGAATTATGAACTATACATATAATCACAACTTTCTGAAAACTCAGCAGATCATTGTACATGCATTATACACTCCGGATCCATTTTAACATGAACTCCCAATCTCCTGTCATGTGATTTTCCTTTCTCCCGCAATGAAACAATTTTGTTGATATAATTGACTAGAACTTCGACTCAATTAAATTGTTTAACCCCCACAACTTTTCCTCTCCAAGTATATATGGACTAAGTACTAACTTCATGGATTCCTATTGGATTATCTTAAAAAATAGAATAATATTGGACGATATTGAATTGGATGATAAACTTCGGTCAATATATCCCATAGAGATAATTGCTATAGAATTGGAAACCTTTTTTTTTTTAAGGGTGTCGCGCAGGGAATGGACCCTGCAGACTATTCCCTACCCTCTACAACTTGCTGGCAGCAAGGTTCGAACTAGGGATCTAAGGTTCCATTTTCAGCAACCTCAACCACCAAACCAAGCTCCAGAGAGCTTATAGAATTGGAAACCTACCTAATTTCTTATTGAAAAAACTATGATGGTTTAAAAAAAAACACTTACTAGTACCAACAAAAGCAAGATCATAAATCAGTAGTGCATTACATAGATGTTATACTCAACAGTAGCTTCACCAGTCTTGAGATTAAAGGAATGAGTTCTAGCCTGAGCATAGCCCCGAGCAAACCGGAGAAGCCCACTTCCCCCGATCACCGGCATCTCCCTAACCTTGTGGAACACCGGATTCCTCCCTAGCAAGGTGATAGTGCTTCCATTATACTTCCCTTCAACAAAAACAAAATTCATTATCATCAACAGAGCCAACTCCGCTTGTGAAGCTGATGCATAGCACCCTTGTGCTCTTGCAACTAGTTTGGAGCTCAGCTCAGATTCTATGGTCACTGGATTATCGATCACGTTAACAAAGCCAAACCCATTACGGAATTTTGGTAGTGGCTTCACTACTGTGACTGAAGTGGGGTGCATACCAGTGCCAATATCATGCCAGAAGAATCTAAAATGGCTTAGCTTTTCTGCTCTTAGTTCGAGTGCTTCTTTGTTAATTTCTTTGACAAACTCATGCTTTTGCTTACAGGTGACATGAATAGGCATGAAGAAAATGAGGATGGCAATGGTGGAGATGTTGAAGGCTGAGATAGTACTGGCCATTGAGAAATTATGCACTGGAAACTTAGTTTCTAACTAATCAGGAAATGTAGATGAAGGCAATATGTGGAGGGGGCTGTCTATATATCTGGAGAATTGGTAGAAGCAATTCTTTAAGCCGCCATCTGCCTAAAGAAGGCAAGCCGACGCATGCAAGCGTGGTTTTGCTTTCTTTTTTCAAGGAGGATCAACAGTAATTTTTCACTTACCTTTTTGATGATTCGAATCCGTGATCTGTCAGTTATAGGTGAATCATGGTTTTGTTTTGGATACTGTGAAGTGAATATATGCTCTCTTTTTTCTCTTTTTTATTCTGGGAAAGGTGTAAGTGCATTTAGTTATGTACATTAAAGGTAAATTCTCAAGTAGCTTCTACTGTTAATTAAAAATTAGGTGTATTCTCTCTTTCTTTTTTCCCTGATTAGGGGTTTTGTCTGGTGTATGTTAGACCTGTATGAAGCTATATTGTGGTTTGGAGTATATTTCACTTTTATAATAGAACTACATAGAGAAGTGATATCTCATTTGAACTTTCAAAAGTATAGCATATTCATTTGTTTATTTATTGGACACTTAAATGGTATTTAGAAACTAAAAATGGTGTGAATTATAATTGGAATAATCAACATTGGGACCATGCATCAAGACTCATCTTTTTAACTTGTACAGATTAAACAGATAGTGGTTG